TCAGCGAGTCTGCTTCCTTAAGAAGATCCGCCAATGACTTGTCATCGAAACCAGATCCGGACAGTTGTAGTCGTACTGCTGGAGGGGCGTATCTTAGGAGGCAGAACTTCGAGACATCTTCGAAGCAGAGACCATCCACGAGAGATTCAATGCGAGAATTGAACAAGGTTAGTTTCTCATCGGGAGCAGGAGCCGCTTCCAGGTAAGCTTTTACCCTATCGAAACGTGACAAGGAGAATTCTTTAATTAATAATGCTTTCGCATCTTCGTAGGCAGTCGGAGCTTTTTCCCTGGTGATGGCGCAAAGGAGCGAAGACGTAGAGTCGTCCATGAGACGGAGCAAGGCAGCAAATTTTTGTTCGGAGGAAGAAATCGACGAAGACGCGAAGACAACCTCAAGCTGCTCGAACCAAAGCTTGGGTTGCGCCTTATTAAAGCATCGGAACTCCACTTTCGGAAGGCGGGACTTTGGAGCGTCGTTCGTTTTCTCCGGGACTTGTCCATCGTCTCCGGCAACGCTTAGATCGATGAGAATGTTGTCGCATCTCATGGCCAGATCGTTATGAGATTTCTTTTGCTCGTTGACTATATCCTCCGAAAAAGTTGTATTTGACGATAACCATTCCAGGTAGCCCTCCTCGAAAACTTTAATCAATGAAAAGATCGCGGTCGAGAGAGCTTTTGCGACTTCCCGGGGGCAAGTTTTGTCAAGTTTGTTTTGTGCTGTTTCAATGAGATTTTTGAGGCGTTCTGTGAGGTTGGAATACCTTTCAAAAAGGATTCTCTCGTCACTCTTTTTCGGCGGCATTTCAAGACGTTGAAGAATCGAAAAAGTTCTGTTTCAGGAGTTTTCACGGACAGCAAGATGCGCGTGAATAGCAAAGCAAGTCCAACCTGGTCGACGGAGGAAGTGGAAGAGACCAGGCTCAGCGGGGTCACCAATAAAGGGGTCGCAAGAACCTTTTGATAACGAAGAATCCGCGGACAGAAAGGAATAGGTCTTCACCTCAAGAACATTCAAGAAGAACTGGTTTATTGGA